TTAACCCTTTCGAGCCGACTGTCACATATATGTGACAGCAAGAAACGCGCTCACTTCCCGGCCGACACACCCGCGTGTCAGAGAGTTTTCTCGTTCACCCCCGACCGTCACTTATTTGTGCCAGCGTTTCGGAACGTTTTAAAAAATGAAATTTCTTCCAAAAGATGGCATTGTATGTCCATATGGTTTCAGATACATGTAGATTTGACTTTCTACTCAAGATGAAAGTACATTCACGTGGTTTTTAGGGGAAGGAGTGGAGGGGGGGAATGTTTTATGAGGGCTCTTTAAATTAGCACGTGATATTTATTTACAGTAAGTATGGGAGTTTTTTTTTTCTCTCGCTACTTTCGATTTTCGGATTAGTTTTTAGTGGATAATTAGATCTTGTAGGTTTGAATTTTTTTTCTTTTTACCGATAGAATGTCGAAGCGTCGAAAAATTTTAACTGAGCTGGAAATAGAGGAAATTATGCAAAATATTTAAACTTATTAATATTTATATTACATTTAAACAAGAAATAACTTAAGTAAATAAAGTATCCATAGAAATATATATAAAGCATATGTCACTTAAATACTCTACAGAACAATATTAAACAACGCGCTGATATTTCAGTAATTTCATGGAATTAGGCTTAACATCGAAAAACCCTCCAGCCTTGGGGAGACACACACTAGAGAGACTGCCGGCCTCAGCGGTAAGCGCGCTTTGCGTCGCGAAAGGGTTAAGAGAATATTGTAATATTGAGAGAAGAATAACATTAATTCATATGAAAATTCGTCGGGACCAAGAAACATTATCGTAATAGAGGGAGTTATTGTTGTATCGGATATCGTAGTAGCGAGAGTTCACTTTATATATATATTCAATCACACCATATATATATGGTGTGATTGAATTGGCTATTGCCATAGAATCAGATCACAGAAAACAAGATTCCAAGATTATAATAATAATATGTTCTATATCAAATCTTATTCAAATTATCTAATATTCTGTTATTCTATTTACTAAAAGATTTAAGAATTTTAACCCCCAACTACGCAAGATGTGCAATTTTACAAATGGGGACTTGCACTCCAAGAAGAAGACCTCCCATACCCACACATGTGACCTGTGACTTCATTGCTAACTATTCTTTATCAGCAAAATGGCATATTAAAGTTGAGCTAAGTTTCTCTACATAAGTCAGAATGCTAATTAAGAGTAAGTAAATTAATTACAGAGTCATATTGCACATCAAATTCGTTGAAATAAAATTCTTTCATGTCTACTTCCTTTACTTAACTTAAATTTATTATTTGTTTAAGTATTTTATTGTAATCGTGATATATTTTTGTTTTTTTGATGCACAATTAGTTTGTTTATATTCCACAAGACTTCGTGCCTGCCTTTGTGTTAAGTCTCTGCGTAAATATATAGTGAAAGAATTAAAATTTTTGAGAAAGAATCTTCGCGAAAGAATATAGAATGTGTCACTTAAGGGAATTGGGGATTGGCTTATTCAAAACAGAATGGAAATAACAGTTAGTAACATGAACAAATGCCACATTTTAACAACCAATCAGGATCGAGACACCCACACTACATCACATGCTGGTGTCTCATTGAAGATCTGTTGGGTGAAAAGTGATTATCAAAATTTTTTGCGATTCAGATATAAACAGATTTTCATATATTATATATTTGCCATCACATGTTTGAAATTCAAATATTTTTTGATAAACATTTATTTATTAGTTTTATTTCTAAACATATTTATTGATAAATATTTGTTAGTTAATTTTTGATTTTTGAACAATAGGAGAAAAATTTTTTATAAGGTGTGCATTATCATTTTTTACTCCTTCATAAATTTTTTATTTAATTTAGTCATTTTAGTTCAGTTAGTTTTAAGTGCTTTTCTATACTATTTTTAATAATGATATATATATATGTATATATATATATAGTATATATTAGTATATATATATATGTGTGTGTGTGTATTTTTTAATAATTTTTTACTTATTTATTATTTTTTTATTTATTTATTCCTTACTTTCAAAGTTTTGTTAGCCTCTTAATACTGACCTGGTAAGCTAAATGGCATAAAAAAAATAGTACAGTAACCCCGAAATGTCCCAGATAAAAAGTGGCAACACTTCCAAGGGTCAAAAACACCATCCATTGAACGAAGGTTGATATTTTTTAATTATTTATTTTTAAAATAATTATTTATGAAAAATATTTCTATGAAATAGTTATAAACTATTAATTTCGCAATAAAATTTAATTTTTTTTTAAAAATTGAATTAAGTAATAAAATTACTTGGTTCAACTCACTTAAGAAAATATTTATGCGCAAAAGAAAATTTTTTAATACATACAAGTTCTGGAATGACCACACTTAGTACATATTTTCAGAATAATTTTAAAAAAATTTGGTCCAACAGTACGTACAATGAAGATTATTTATTATCAAAGACCATGTACATAATTTGCATCTAAAATAATAAAATGAAGAGTTTGTCTTTCTGTATGTCTCTCTTATAACTCCAGAACCATTTGTTTTATTAAAACAAATGGTTATTGTTATTGACAATTGTTATTGAAATTCAGACAGCGACTGTAACTGCCAATTTTAGCCTTCATCCCAAAATTTGCTTGAAATTTTCACTTAAATTTTTCAGAAAAAGAGTCTGAAAATCTTATTTTCTCATTAATTTAGCATTAGTCGCTGTTTCAAATTAAACTGTAAACAATTCCATTTTTATTTTCAAATATTTTAAAAGTAACATCATTCATATTTGCTAGTTCACAGTTTTCATTGTCTCAAAAAAGAGTTATGGAGTTTTTTGCATGTTCTTTAATGATTAATATTCGAATATTCGCTTTATCAGATAAACTAAATGAGTAATGTGAATGTGGTGGCATGCACAGTTTACTTCACCTAACTATTGTTTCGAACGTTATATTACACAGCATTTTTATTTTGTTTATAGTTATACTTTTAAAATGTTTTTCTATAAAACTAAATTTACAATCCGCGATAATTGAAATTAAAAAAAAAAAAAAACAGTTCGTCCTGAAAAAAAAAACTAAAGAAGAAATAAATAATTTTTTGGGAGAAAAATTAAGAAATCATAATATTATAATTGACGTTAATGATGCTTAATTAAATTTGGTTATAGATTCTATTGATGCAATGGTAATTAGTGTAGTTTTAATTAATAGGTAGCTAATAGAGATACAATTTACTAAATTAGTATATTTGGTACCTATTAGAATTGCATGAATACTGTGTAGTTTTATAATAGATACTATGGAAAGAGATTTTTTTTACCGCATTCCATAAGTGGTAAGCAAGAAAAAAACTGATTGTGGTTAATTTTGACTATCAAGCCAAATAATACTGAATACAGTAAATTTTCATTTTGATAGGATAAACTACTAAAATTGTGCTTTGTTCCATCTTAGCGTGGATTTTACCACAGCATCTTACCACAGGAAAGGGCAGCAAATAATAAATAAATAGAACTGGGTTTATTTCAGCTTTATTTAATGTGTTGGTAAATGCCTTTCAGTTTTGTGCATAATTTAAATGTTATTTAGTACTGATTTAAATGTTATTTAGTACTGATTTATTAGTTATTTACTCTTTTTTTCACTCTTAACTGGAATTCAGCTAATAGGGGTCTGTTTAGGTTTTATTAAGAGGCACCTATTTTGTGAAAATTTAGACATAATTTGTGATATTAAAAAATCATAATTTGTTTTGTTATATTAATATTATATTAAAAAAATTTATAATAAAAAATCAACACAAGAATATGGTAAAGGAAGAAAATATTTGCAAAAAATGTCACTACAAATAAAGATCATTTATGACTGGTAAATTTCTACATATTTTTCTCCATATATTAAGAAACCATTTTGCTATTTTTGGGCTAAAAATTGTATCTAAATTACAAAATGCATAAATCCATAAAAATCATTGTCCATAATTACATTTCAACTTGAATTTAATAAAAGCATGCATTTAACAGTACTGAAAGTTATTTTAATTATGAGAACATTTTCAACTGGGTCATACAAAAAAAAAAAAGTTTCACTGAGAAAAAAAAATGGTTCATAAAAAAATAAAGTTGTGTTAGAATAAATTTATAATTTGTTTAATAATGTTTGAATGTCGACTTCCTGTAGAGAGTTTATAGAGGGAGAGCTTCATTGTTTCCTTTTTAAAAAACTCAGAAGAAGTAAAAGAGCTCGCTTCGATATGGCGTAAGTGTCCGATTCTGCTTAATACATTGCACTATTTGACTGGACACGTAACACCTTTTCGTAAAAGAAAGCTGACAGAAAAGCTCCTCTTTTCCATAGATTGCTATGAGAAAGGGGTTCACATTAGAACTTGCTTTTTTACTAGTGAAACTACCCTTATTTCTAAAGTTGAATTTGAGAAGGTACCGCTAAACAGTAGTAAATTTACCCTGGACAGACCACTGGCTAGTTATCAATGAAATACATTGTAATGATTTGTATTTAAGAAATTGCGACAAAATATTTTATGGAGTAATCTTTATTTTAAAAAGTGCACCAGAAAATCTCTTGTTCCCAAATCATAATTTCAAGAAAATTGTAAATCTCAGTTGAATGCATTCAAATAGTTTTTTTTCATAAGTGTCAATTCCTTCCACTCAATTAGTTATAAATTTGGTTATCTTTGTAATAAATAGTTTAAACAAGAAAGACTCGGTTCATAATTTAGAAAAAGGCTCTTACATGTATCCAACCAATTGTAATGAGATCGTGTTTATCTTGATACAAGAAAACATCTTCTTCGTCATCCGTAAAGCAAGAGTCGGCAGTTCCACTTTGTTTTGGTATGATTAAATGCGTCACCACCAACTGATTGTGAGACTGGAAAAAAAATGTACAATAATATTTGAGATATCACAATTTTGAAATGCTTCTTTTAACCAATTTAATAAATTTCTAAAAACATGGAGTTACAAATTTATAAGATAGAATAGATCGATAAGATAGATCAATTTGATAGATAGATAGATCAATAAGATAGAATGTTCAAAGAAAGCTACTAGCACAGTACAGTCAGGGTATCTGTTACAATTTAGATTTTTAAATTCATGAGTTTCCATGAATAATTCCAAGAATTTTTCATGACTTACCGAATTTACCATTTTATCCGACAAAAACACAACAATAAATTTAAAAAAGCATTATAATAACATTAATTGAAATGATAGATATAACCAAAACTGTTATAATCTGCGCCCGTTATTGATTTTAAACTTTAAAAAACAGAGTAAAAAAAAAAAAAGTTGAAGCAATAAACTAGCTGAAAAAAATACACAAAAGCAAATAATTAAATACAGTCAGATATATTTATTATTTAAAGTTATTTCTTAAAAGTAAGTGTAATATAAAAAGCCTAAACTAGAATTTTAAATTAATAAAATGAATAAAATAATTCTGAAAAATCACGGAAGTTTAAAACATAAATTTAAAAAATAATTCACTCTAGAAATGATGATCTTTCTTTCATCTTTTGAAAGAACAACATAATTTTTAAAGACTAGAATAAAAACATTTTACGTTTCAATAAAATATGACTGTGAGTGGGGACTTTGTTACAAACACTGTGAAATTTGGAGGAGGAGGGGGGAGAGGTAAATTCCATTTTTAAAATTAGATTTTTCGGCGACCTAAATCCATGACTTTCCATGATTTTTTTTTAAAAAATAGTCAAAATCATGACATTTCATGACAAATTTTGTTCAATTCATGACTTTCCTTGATTTTTATGACTTTCCAGATGAGCGGATACCCTGTACAGTCAAATATTGATATCACATAAATGCATTTCTAGTCAGATAACGTGACCACTTTCTACAATGGTGAAACACAAAATAAAAAGCACAAAGTAAACATATTTTGAATAATAGGTTAGTTTCTTTAGAAAAAAGAATGAAAAGGAATAATTACCATTTTACCTGTGAGTATTCCACAGGTTTCAATATTGGACTCTGTGTTTCTCTTTGCAATATTTAGAAAAGTTTCAATTCCTTTTGAAGGCACTTTAACAGTTCGAAGGCCATGAGTAAATTCTGTATCAGAATCTAGACTCAAGATAGAACGAGGTTTCGTACTGCGATCAACAGTAGGCAAACTTTTTGAGGATATCCTAAAATAAACATTCACTATAGGATTACAAAAAAAGTCAAAATGAAATNAAGCTAATAAAAAAAAATAGCTCTTTGGCAATGTTTCTGCCATTTTGCAATGCACCAGGAAAAGTAGAATCTAGACTCAAGATAGAACGAGGTTTTGTACTGCGATCAACAGTAGGCAAACTTTTTGAGGATATCCTAAAATAAACATTCACTATAGGATTACAAAAAAAGTCAAAATGAAATTAAAGTTTAAAAAAAATTATTTTGAACCAAATAAAAAAAAAAGATATCGGTACTTTTATTTTAAAGTTTTAAATAAATTAGAATGTTAATAAGAGAAAATTAATTAATTCACGCAATCGAAGATGCACACATACTCGTTGTTTAAATTAAAAACTTACAATTGACTATTAAAACTTGAAATTTCAAAGTTTTTCAAAGGTTAAGAGTTTTGACCACCATAGGAAAACACAAGAGATTTCTCATTAATATTCTAATCAAAGTTCTAAAAAAATAAATGAATACGTAAATTTCGTTTTGTTCAAAGTTACATTCTTTATTCGAATTTAACTCTAAAAATTAAATTACTACAATAAAAGTCAAAATTAAAGAACTGCAACTTTTTTTTTTGTAAGTATAAAGGAGATAAGATATTTGCTAATTTTTGCTGACAAAAGGAGAAATGAGTCTAAAATTGTCAAAAATATGCCTGCTTAAACAGTTTATGACAAGATGCGTTTTATATATTACAGCAACTAACAATAATAATGGGGTAACTAGAAGGTCTGAGCCCCGTGGCAGAATTGCGGCAACACAGAGACATTGTTGCAGAACGTTTCAGAGTTTTTGCAGAAAGATTTTTCATTTGGGACGGGAAAAATATTGGTTTTCATTTCTGCATAAATTTTCAAAAAATGTTTTCTTTTTTCTGCAGATTTTTTTCAAAGATTCTTGCACATCAGAGAGAAAAGAAATAATCATGATTTTTCTATTCTGATTTGAGATTTTAAAACAAATATCGGTAATGACTGGTTTCAGCTAGAATTTCAAATTAATATTATGAAATAAAAAATTCACAAATTGCGGAACATAAACTTACTTGAGTATCACTTTTTTAAAGAGTCTTATTCATGTGATTTCGTCGTCGATCTTTATTTTGAGAGTTTTTGAACAGATTTTACGATTTTTAATTTATTATCATTTAATTTATTTACGAATATTAATTTGTGTAATGGCTTACAAAGTTTGAAAGAGGAAATAATTAGTGTATTTTTCCACCTACAAAATGCAATATCGTCTATATTAGAATTAAAAAAAATATTACTCTTACAATTAAAAATGTTTATACATTTTTATTCTATAATGTCTTCTGTAAACAAAACGTTTCTGTTACTTTAAATTATTAATTTGTATAATTGAAAGTATCTTTGAGCAAAATATTAGTGCTACGGAAGTTTGACGCAAAAAGCCCAACAAAATTCTGCCACAGGGTGTTTGCGCCCTTCCATGTGCACAGCTATAGTTTGTTCACGTTGGCACTTCCACCTTCTCCGTTGAAGAGGTCATTTCGATGCGGAGTAAGAAGAGAAGCGTCTCCGCGCTTGAAATTGGACAACCCTTAATGCGCGCCAAATGCAAACAGTGAATTAGTTTCAATCACTTACTTCGATTTAATGTCTGCTATTATACCTTTCGTTACTTTAGCTATTTAAATATATTGCAGCATTCAGTCTCAAAAAGGACAAACTATTCACTCAAAAGAGAGAAATATCATCAAATTTATGAAATATTTATTATTAAAAAAGGCACACAAAGATTGCTAAATAAATATTTTTGTCATACGATCGCCAAATAGCAACCTTGTTCAGGATTGCTCACATCCTTCTCCCAAAAATAGCATCATCGGATACCACATGATGAAGATAGAGCCAAGTGCCAACTCTTGGTGAACGAACTATACTTAAGTTAAAAACTGATTGCAACATACACTGGAGTAATATGAGTAGAAGAATCTAGAGATGGCTGCGGTGGTGCAATAAGAGCTGTGGAATCAATAAAGGGCTGCTGTGGTGCAATAAGAGCTGCGGAATCAACAAATGGCTGCTGTGGTGCAATAAGATCTGAAGAATCTAAAGAGGGTTCCAGTGAGGAGGGAGGTCCAATGGCTATTTCCCTGCCATATGCAATTCTCCAATTCTTTTCTTTTTCAAATTCCTTTCTAAGTTTTTCCCTTTCTTCCTCTTTCTTCAGTCTTAACTGCTCTTCAGCTAATATTTTATCCTGCATAAAAACAAGTAGTATAAAAAAAAATTTAAAGCCAATTCCTACTTATATCAACAAAGAAAAATTTTATTTTAGTTACTATTTATTACATAATTACAATTCTATCTCCCATATAAAACTAAAATTAATGAATTAAGATTTGAAAAAACTGTATTAACATCAAGTTTCATTCATTACAAGTTTAAAAAAAATGTATTTGAACTTGAATAAAAAATATTTAATAAACGATTGAAAATGCGAACAAAATAAAGAATATATATAGAGAGAGAATGTGAACTAATAGTAGGAATTGGAAAAAAAAGGCGGACCACACGTGCTATCACGTAATGTTCTTTATTGAATTTATCTGCGACAGAGAATATAAAATAATTTAATATTTAAATGTGCGCAATAAACTATTTTTTTTTTGTTCAAATAGAGTTATAAGGCATAAATTATCACTGATGTTATTTTCAAAATATATGAGAAACTGAATCACTTATAGTAAAATTTAAAATAATGACTAATGCTTAACCCATCAGAAAATTCCATTTCGTTTTTCGCTCCTCCCTATTTAATGAATGAATTAATATTTGAAAAAACTGTAGTGAGAGTGTGAATTAATAGTAGAAATTGAAAAAGCAATTCTGTTATGCAGGAGTTATAAGCTAATAAAAAAAAATAGCTCTTTGGCAATGTTTCTGCCATTTTGCAATGCACCAGGAAAAGTCTCCAGTATTTTATTAACCAGACACTTTTTAGGCTTATTTCAATCAGCCTATTATTATCAGCCTTTAGGCTAAATAAAATGTGTGCTAAAAAATACTCAATCAGACTAATTATACTAAGGTGTGATGACAGTAAGGTGACAGTAGAGCGCCGATAGGTAAGGTGACAGTAGAGCGCCTAAGGTAAGGTGACAGTAGAGCGCCGATTATCCGAACTGCTCGGGACCGAACGTGGTTCGGATAATGAAAAGTTCGGATAATTGGAAAGTTGTTTAAAATCAAGTTTAAATGATTATTATTTGTGCACTAACTTCCCTTCACACTTTTTCTAGGCTTGGAACTGGCAGTACTATCTAAAATAGCTCTGGCGCAATTAAAAGTTTTTTTTTCTTCAATTTTTAAGTATTTTTTATTTATTTTTTTTAAAACTTTTTTTTCGTTTTGAATTATTTTTATCATATTTCAGCTTTTCATAATTTTTTTTATCAATTTCTGATTTTACCACATTTTTCTTCATTTTCCATTGCAAAAGAAATTCAGCAAAGACTTTTGTTTCAAAGAAGATATTCTTTTTTGAGCATCCGTATCCCTTATTCTTTTTAAATAAATCAACTGAACTGGATCAACATCATTTTGACGTTTTAGCCAATTTATTGCAATATCTAATGAATTGCCTTCTTCTATATGAGATGGTCCACTATCTTGAATTTGATCACTTACTTCCTCCTCTTCGTCTGTGGAGTTCCGATTTTCATTCAAAATTTCAACAACAATTTCATCATCATTTAAAATTTGAAATCTAGGGTCATTTTCAGTGTCTCGACACCAGTCTTCTATTTCTTCTGCTGTATAACCTGGCATCTTTTCATCGGGAAGATCAGAACCAGAAGCTTCATCCAGAACCAGAAGCTATCCAGAAACTTCAGTTTCGTTTATTTTTTGGTTAAGAATGTTATTCCAAGGTTTAAGATTCCAAGCACAGTAATCACTAATTAACCATAAGTGATAAGTACGCATCCCCCAATTGTAGAACTTCAGCACATATCTATTCATAAACTCCTTCCTCATTTCAACCATTGTAGACTGTCAAACTGATGATCGCATTTTTGGTCGATAATTTTCAGTTGAAGAGGGCTAAAAGGGTATGTAGGTTTAACTGTATAACAATACATGTATGTATTGGCTACTATAAGAAAACTGCTTAAAAATGTTGTAAATTAAATATGGTCTTCAGATGCAGTAGGTATTATTTATTCTTCGAAATTTAGAAAATTGTCGATAAGTTAAAAAGTATTCTGAACTTCAAAAAAAAAAGAGAGAGAGAGAAGAAGAAGCGAATTTGAACATGGTTCGGATAATAAGGGTTCGGATAATCGGCGCTCCACTGTACTTTTTAAAAGATTATTTTTAATTCTTTACTAGTCTAAGCTTATTGCAAGATTAATAAATTAGGCTAAATGGATGAAGTATAGTCTAATTAGGCTAAAATTATATGGAATCACTGCAATATACTAAAATGTCTCAGGCTGATTAAAAAATACTGAACACTTCTCAAATGATCCTAACACATCGTAACAAGATGATGGCTATTAGAAAAAGGCAAAATTATTCAATTAGCCTTTGACATATACAACAGGACAAAATAAGGATATTTTGCTAGTTATACCATTTTTAAGTGTAACCAATTTTTAGAAAAAAATTCACTGTTTTGTAGGTATATCAGGAAAATTTAAATGAAAATAAAGACAATATTTTATTTATTACATGCAATTTTTCATCAGAAATCTTTGATTTCCTTGCTTGTAAAATATTAATTATTAGATTTTTAAACAAAAAATATCATTAAATGAGGATTTCACTAAAAATAAGACATTTTTATAACAAATAGTTGTACAAAATTTTAAATTAATATGTTAAATAAAAATAACTAGTTACTGTTATTGACAATTCTGAGACTGGTACTTTTTTGGGTATGATGCAAGAATTTTCCAGGTTTTTGTAAAAAATTTCAATTTTCCCTCACTGTATCCTTTCTTCTTAGAGTCAAAATAAAATTCCCTCACATTTACAGGTTTTCCTTCTTCTTCCTGCCCCATGGAATTCTGATTTTAAAATGATTTCAAAAAAATTTTCGACATTAATAATGTGAGGCATTTCTTTTGAAGCCTATCTCTAAATATTGTAAATTTTACAATGTAAAGTGTGCCAAAAAAGAAGCACCCCTTTGAATAACTTTTGATCTAATGATTGGATCTTTACGTTGCAGGACTCAATCTTAATGGTTCAAGGGGGTAAGCCCAAATATGCTAGTAGTACAGACGACATTACGAAGTAACAAAATCAGAGACAATGGATCTAGATTTTTTTAATGGATTGGGATTTCTGACCTCCAAAATACAGGGAGTAGTTGCAATCTGGGAAATATGATCCCCATAGTTTAGTCAGGAGAGCGAATTCTCAGGAACTATTCAACCAATTTTGCTTATATTTTTGTTTGCTATGTAAAATTACATACTTATGCATAAATGAAATAATAAAAAATAATAAATATTTACTAAAATTTATTTTTTGCACAGAATTATCATTGGGCAACTAATTTCATAATTGGGTGCAAAAAATTTTCATTTCGCTTAAAAAGTTCTAGAGATAGGGCAAAATATACAAAAAGTAAAATTAACATTGAAGGGTCCAAACTTTCGATTGTTCTCCTGGCCAAACTATGAGGACCTTATTTCCCAAATTGCAGCTACCTCCCATATTGTGGCGGTCAGAAATATAAATCTGTTAAAAAAAAGAAGTTTATTCAGAGAAAGTATGTTTTTCTGTCTGATTTCATAACTTGAAATACCTCCTGCTCTAATTAATTAGCATATTTGACATTAATCCTCTTGAACCATTAAGATTGAGTCGTAAAAGGTAAAGATCCCATCATTAGATCAAGAGTTATTCAGGGTGGTTCCTTTTCTTAGAGCACAAAACAAAACTAAACTCAGCGGCGCGACAGCCCATAGAGGGCCAAGGCCTACTGTGCCCATCTCAGTTTTCTTGACCTTGGGCTCCGGGGTGCAGGAGCAGATGTTCCGGTCAGGTGGTCAACCGAGCGCGGAACCCCCAGTGTTTAGTCCCCAAACATGCTTGGTACTTATTTATCGACCCACTGAAAGGATGAAAGGCTGAGTCAACCTTGCTCGGCCCGAGGATCGAACCAGGGACCTGTGGCACGACAGCGCGAAGCGCTACCGCTCAGCCACCGGGCGTCTCTTGATTATATTAGCCACTATAAAAACAATCTATACATAATTTTATACACATTCAAGACTGAGTTGCTCATTCTATTTTTTTGAATTAATAATTACCTTTTTTAATTATGTAAAAAAATTAAATTAATTATAATTTTGAATTAAACTATTATTTAAAAAGGTTATTGAGTGCACTTTTTAGATTTAAATAAAAGTTATTTATGAAAGCATATTCTACAAAACATTATTGATAATATCAAAGTTATACAAGATATGAAAGAATTTGCGACAAAAAGATGAAAATAAAAATAAAAGAAAAAACATAACAGTGTATCATCTCATTAGAGCACTATGGGTTTCAAAAATAAAAAAAAATTCTTACAATTATAAAATGGTCATAATTTTATATGTATTAAAAAATAATGACAACAAAATGCACACGGTGTATTTCTGACAAAAAAAAAGTAGCAAATGGTTAGCTACACCTTTCTTTCATTCCTGGAGCCTTTGAAAAAAATTTCCACGTCATTCTTCTTTAAATTCATGGTTTAAGTAAAGGAAGAAAACAACAAAACATAATAGTATGCTAGCAAAAAGAGAACGAAAACAATGCTTATTAATCAGCAAAATAAAATTAAAATATCATTTTTGGTCTAAAAAATTATCACAAAAACAATTCAAAGTAGAGGAATTTATTTTTGAAGTTTCCCTTATAACAATAGCACAAATGCATTCATTTAAAATTTTTACCTGCTCTTGTTTCCATTTTTCATATTTTTTTGTATAAGATTCAGTTATAGCAGCTTTTACTTTCATGGCTACATCAAAAATTGATTCCAATTTCTGAAATAGAACCATTTAATGTAGGCATCCACCAACCAATTAATTAAATTAGGGGTGCACAACCTGTGGCCCGCGGGCCAAATACGGCCCTTCAACTACTGAAATGCGGCCCGCGAGAGCTTCTAAACACAATAAAAAATTTTAAAAAATGGCAATTTTTAATCGCACTTTTAAGTCATCACGTTTTGACACAATCAATTTTAACAGATTTAGTAAATGTACAAATGTACGTTTAACGCGCTTTCTTTAAGCCGATTTTATCGTAAATATAAATGATTTTTTTAAACAGTTATTTCTGCTTTTCTACATGATTTCGAAAATCACGTATTTTTATTACGACGCGAGTTTCAGATCGCAAATTTAAATAATCACTTTTCGTGCACTTTATTTGTGACGATTTCATCTTAAATCTAAGTGATTTTTTATCTTTTTTTTTGCAATTCTTTCTTCTTTTCAACAAATTTTTTGGGCAGTTATTGCGATGCGTTCCCACGTATTATAAAAAATTCCAATTATTCTATTACGACATGCAAATTTTAAATCATGCATTTGACACGCTTTATTCGTGCTGAGTTCAGCATAAATATATTTTTTCCCAATTATTTCTATACTTTTCCACGTGATTTTGATGATTCCTTTATTTAACTATGATGTTATTACGACACGTGATTGTTAATCGCGCAATTAAATAATAACTTTTTGATACGGTATTATGGTACAATTTTATCGTAAATCCTAGTTATTTTTCAATCGTTTTTATTTTCTCAACGAATATGATTTGGTCGAATGTGGTAACGAATTGTGATTTGATCAAAAACCAAATATTCGGCAAAAAAAAAAGAAGAAAAAATCGATTGAATGNATTTCTTTTCTTCAATGTTTATTTATTTTGATAAATCTATTGTTCATATGATAAAAATAGCAAGTTTTTTTTTAGTAAAAAAAAAGTACAAGTTTTTTTATTTTTGAATGAGTCATTATACTACTAAGTTATTGATATTACTAAGTTTATTGATAAAAAAAATGGAACGCTAATGTTTAAATAAATATTACTACATTTGTCATTAACATGTCTAAATACATGTGCGGCCCTTCATTAGCCAACCTGCTGTCCAAGTTGCCCTTCACTCAAAAAGGTTGTGCACCCCTAAATTAAATGAACAACAATTTATCTGAAACATAAATATTAATTCCAAGGAACGATTGAATATGGTGCAGTTTGAACTCTAAAACAATTTCAACAGTACATTTGAAGATGCATTAGACTACCTTTATAATGCAAACCTTGGAACACGAGGCTTTACATCATACAGAATTTTGTTGTTAACTAGATCATTTTATGTATCAACATTAAGCTAAACAATTAACTATTGCTACATATATCTGGAAAATATAACATTTGAACGTTTTTAAAGAATTTTTAGTTTAATACAAATTATTTAAAACTTGTGCACTTAAGTATTTCATATTTGCATGGAAAAAAAACTAAAATTATATTATCAAGAACATTAGAATTAACATCAAAAATGTAGCAATGTTGATTTGCTTTAGAGATTGTGATCACACTTAGCAAATAATTTTTCTTGCAGACAGTGAATAGTANTTTAATTCAAATTATTTAAAACCTGTGCACTTAAGTATTTCATATTTGCAAGGAAAAAAAACTAAAATTATATTATCAAGAACATTAGAATTAACATCAAAAATGTAGCAATGTTGATTTGCTTTAGAGATTGTGATCACACTTAGCAAATAATGTTTCTTGCAGACAGTGAATAGTATGGCTCATGACCACTATCAGAAATTTCTTCAATATGATTTTCATTGTTTATACCTGTAAAATCAATATGATCTATGGAGAATTGTGCTTCATAGAATTGCATTATAATGTAGAGATTATGAACATAATGTGAGTATTTTTATTACGAAAAAAAGGAAAACTAAACAAATTGATCTGATTTTTAATCTTTTCTATATTATACCTTTATTTAAAAAAACAAACTTAGATTATAGCATCATTGGTTCATGCACTAGGCAAGGTGCCTTACTGCATTTTGTCAACAAAAAAATGTGTATGTTCATAGTTTATTTTACAAGTTTTTAATTCATTAAAGTGTTGTGGTTAAATATTTTTCAAACAGCAAGCATTTCACAAACAAGGATTCAAACAGGCATTCATCAAATTTTAAAAATCTTTTTTCACCCAAACAAGATTTCTTTTGTAAAACTTTATAGAAATCACATTTACAAGAAGTGGTTATAGCAAAAGTTTTGCAATGAAATAGAGTTTCTCCTATGCTGAGTAAAGGGATTTTTCTTGTAAGGCAATAATCTATTTTAAATTGGCTGGGTAAAAAAAATTATTAAAAAACCTCAGAGGTAAAAAAGTTGGAATTCATAAAATATTAGTATGGTTATTCTGTAATTTGTAAAATTGTGAGCAATAATCATCTAAATATTTGTAGAGTAATTATATACAATATTGTATGCTAATTGCTGATAAAACGCAAATTTTACCGAAATACCAAAGTTATTAAAATTTTTAATTTAGCAATAATTTCACATTATCTTTGGATAGTTTACTTATTCAAAAAAAAAATGGAGCTTTTAATAACTTATTTGTTACAGAAACATATATTAAGATAATCTTTTTTTTAATGGATATACTTCGTATAATACTTATACTTTGTATAAGGCTAACATACATTTTGATGAATGCTAAAAATCTTAAATTTAGATGAAGGAATAAGAAAAGTAGCTCAAACTTGCACCCTCTTTTTTTCTAAAAAAAAATAACGATAGTAGGACTTCCAACAACTAAATTAAATTAAATTTATCAGCAGCTGTTTTTATTCCAGGGAATGTAGGTTTATAAATTATATCTCATAAAAATACCTGCAAAATGATATCCTGTCTAAACTTTAATTTTTAAGTGGTAAAAAAAAGGAATGTTTCTAACTGGAATGGTTTTTAAAATAAATGCAACATAAGAGAAATTTACCTTTCTAGTCTCAAATTTATCCTTGTCAGTTAAAGTCCGATATTCTGGATGCTTAGGTATCTGCTCCACAAACAACCTTTGTGTTAAAATAAATATATTTTATTAAAATATAAATATATACATAGTTTTTATATTTTATAGACAAATAAAATGAAAAATGAATAGGCTATTCAAACATAAAAGACCATAAAAATTCATGAAAAATGTATTAATGAAAATTAATGAATATTGAAATTGGTTGTCATCGTTAAATTACAAAAGTCTTAAATAAAAAAGTAGGTTTTAAAAAGTTTTTCTTCTTTTATTACCTGGAAAGTTACAATGAAAGTCAAACAATATTCTTCACTGAGCTTAGTCACAAAATGCTACTAATCACACACATGAAATTCTCCTGATATATTCAAGTGCTTGTCTTTAAAGTACTGAAAAGCCCTCTTGTTTCTTAATTGTTTCAAAATTTTTTTTAATTTTTTTGCAAATAAGATGATAAGGGGCAATAACAAAAGATTAAATTTGAATCTCTGGATATATATGTTTGTGTGTGTATATATATACAGTGAAACCTCCAGTTATAGACACTCCTGCAAAACGGATATATTTGTAATTCCCCGAGAATCTTCTATGAATAAACTATTATGTACATTCTCCGCAAAGCGGACACTCCCGTATCCGTACGCGGACAGCCATTTTGGCCATGAAACATTATTTTCAATCTCTTCAAACTGGACACTACATTTTCTAAATCGGAAAAAAAAAAACTATTTCTGCTTTAAATTGCAAGGGAAAAAATGCGACTTTTCATTATTGTTAAAGCATGTAAAGTTTTTGCCTTATCCATAACTAAAAGTATTGTTAAGCTATTTCACTACTAAACAATCAATCTTTCTCCTCTGTCACCTTGCCTTATGGAAAGGAAAGAAAATGATACTGCTTTCCTGAAATTATTCCGACAGCGGCATCTTTTGATCTTTTCATCTGGACCACATAGGTTATAAGACCCCTCAAGTTGAAATGACATCTGAAATGCTCTCAATGCTTCTTCCCCATTGAAAATTTCTTTAATTTTTCTTATCAATTTGAAGACTGTATTTAACACAGTTGGGATAAAAAAGAGAACAAAAGTACAATCTTTGAGGTGTTCATATAAATGAAACATTTATTCAGACACTTGATAGCTGATGAATTGTGAATAATTAACTCCATAGGTCCTCATGACTTACAGGTATGCATTGCTTTTTTATTCTTTGAATCCTGGGAGGTTTACTTTCAAGAAGGTATTAACCACGTTCCTGATCAAATGATAGGTTGGTGTAAGGGAATGTGAACCTAATAATTAAAACCAACTAAAAACTGAAAGCAGCTATTCGGTATCATATGTCTAACTTGAGTATCTATGCTAGTAAAAAAACTATATTTATTTATCTGTTGCTACATCTAAAATTATGTATTTATATCAAACTTTTTTTAAATATTTTTATCTTTCTTAAAGTTTAAATAAATATCCTTGTAGATAGTTATTGTGGATTATTTATTTCTACATCTTTGAAAATATTCTAAAAACAATTCACGTTGTTGCGTTAAACTTCGTTATTAGGGTACCCTTCCCGTAAATGGACAACTCTCATAAACGGACAATTTTTTCGGTCNCTTTATATATATATATTTAATATCGATAAAAAAGATTTTACGGGAGAGGGGAAAATCAATAAACCAGGAAGACAATAATGATAATGGGCAATAACAAAAGATTATAATCTCCTACATCAAAAAAGTTGGGGGAAATTATCACTAAAAACTTAGTCCATCTGAAATATTTCACAAAACAAAGACTTTAAAGTTTCTTTTGTCTAAATTTGCATTAAAATGCAATTCCAAAAAAAGCATAGCTGCCAATCGATGTAAAAGATTTTACAAGGGAGGGGAAAATAGATAAACCAGGAAGACTTTTGGCAACCATAAAAAAGCATAAATTCTTAATTACATATGTTTGAATCATTGATAAGTCATGGAAGGTATTTTAAAAACTAAGTATAATGCACTAAAACATAACTGTTGCTGTCACTAAGAAAAAATTTTCCTTGTTGACTGTGCAGGATATTACAATATATAGAAATATATTTAGTACCACCTTTTGTACAATTTTTTTTTTCTTTTTTGGACCACAGTATTCAAACTTGTCTAGAAAATAAAAAGTTCAACCACAAAATAACTGAAGTGTTATTTTCTTCAATGTGAATAAAAAAACAATAAAAAGAACCTTTATTTTTACAAATTGAGCTATGCATATATACAAATATTTAATAAAATTTGCCAACAACAAAAATATCAGGAATGAGGCAATTCGCTGATTAAATCAAAATTCTTGTGAAACAAGATTGGGCAAAAAATATCAAAAATAAATATTAGAGAGCATTAAAAAATCTCTTCCCTTTCTTTATTTTTCATTGTTGATTATTTTTTGCCATTATTTTTCTTTGTAATTGTTGAATGTATAACACATGTGACACAAAATATATTATTACTAGCATTTATTAATCCCAGAAAAATTTCAACTTTTTGACAACTTTAGTGTCTTTAAATGAGAATCTTGTTGATAGAATTATTTCTTCCTGTTACTCTCGGATTTTGCAAACATTTGGTCGGAACATATCTTTGGTGAGTAAACATATGGATAATAGACACAAAGTAAAAAATCTCTTAGATGGTTTAAATACTAGAAATACCTTCTCTAAATACTGAAATTACCATTCGCAATGCCTTACCAAACAAAATAGCACTGTGATTTCAAGTGGTTGAGTGATTTATGAGAGGATATATGAAGAATCTCATATTCTTATACACATAGATTTTTGAATAAATTGAGCAAAAGGGATGTTTTATAACAGGGTGGTAGGCATATTTTTCAACAAAAAGTTAGCACCTTTTAAGTACTTTTTAAGCACTCAAAAAATATTTTGAATCACTTTCCAAAAAAAATCATAATTAGGATTGGTGCAGTAAAAAAAATTACTTTTTTCTCTCGTTTAAAGTTATTAATTTGTAAACATGAAATCAATAAAATTCAAAAACATTTTCAAAAACTTTACATAATCATGACAAAATAACTAGTTTCTGATAAATATTGCAGAGAAAATTGTGATAAATCATGCATTTTTTGTAATTTAGAATGGCAATCGATACGGGAAAGAGAAATCTCTTTTTAAAATATAGAAAATTAAGCACTTTCCACAAACCCCGAATAAAAAAAAGCACCTTTAGTAGCTTTTAAATAATGTAAATCAAAAATAAGTACCTTTAAGCACTTTTAAAAAACCCTACGCACCCTGCATAATTTTAAATGAATGAAATTCCCACAGTTAGATGTCTATCTTTCTTCAAACAGCTTTAAATAAAAAATTATCAAGAAATTTGTTGAAAATTTTTAAATTCAAGTTACCGATGAAAAACCTTAAAGTAAAAGGTTTTTCAAACATTAAACTTACAATTTATTAAAAATATTCCACATTAAACATAGGATTTACATACGATAAATAAGTTTAACTATAAATATGCATATATAATTCCTAGAATCTACAGTCAAAAGAAATAAAGTTTTGAACTTATAATAATAAAGAAATGTAACGAATAGTTATACTTACGTTGTATATTTAGTATAGAGAATAAAAGCATTTTCTAGTTCTCCTTCATCGAGATACATCTTTGCCATCTTCAGCATTTCAGAACCAGATCTAAAATAACGACCAATTGGAATATGAGGATTAACGGTAACACTGCTGGCAACCATGGCCAAAGCTTGAATATGGCTCTTTGGATCCTTCATGTTTTTTGCTTCAAAAGTTTATTAAATGCTGAAAGAAAATGAAATAAATATGTGACATAATGACAATTTTTTGAGAAAAATTCTATTTTTTACACAAAGAAAGCCCCCCAAAAAATTTCTTCAAGAGTTGTTTGTGATTTAATAAGGCCAAGAAGGTTACAGTTTACCAATTTTGTAGCCAACAACATGATAATAGTTGCAATATGGTCAGTAATACCTACAAGCTGTCTTTACTTTTGCTGCTAGAGATTGAACCTCAGTTTTTTCACAATGATAGCTCAGTGCTTTAACCACTGAGCCGTACCAACTTATAATTATAGAAAAGCTATCCATACTTTTCTCCAAAGATCTAGTTATCTTTGAAGCAAATGTGATTTTTTAAAAATTTTATATTTAAAATTAGATATACTATAAAGGTTTTTCATTGTTGACTCATTGTTGGTTTTGCAAATGGGCAAAACTGAGAAAATGTTTCCCTATCTAATAACAGAGAGAAAACAATTTTATTATGCAGAGAAGACTGCAGATTAAAACATAACTTTTTAAAAGCGGAGCTGTCAGTCGGTCAAAATAAATAAATTATTAGAAAATAGTGAAATATTAATTATTTATTTATTATTATAAAAATACAGATGTCTAATAAAAAGAAGTATACAATCTATTGTAACTTTGCTCTACTATTCTCTTTATTTGCTCTTCTTGAAGAAGCAGAAACCCCATCAGTTTCCTCTTGGCTGGATTTCTTATTATATAATTCAATGAAAATAATAAAAGTCAATGGTAGCCTATAGCAATACATTCATTTTACAAAAGGCTCAATTTAATATATATCTGTGTGCGTGTGTGCTAGTAATTAATAGATTAATAGCTTAAGCTGGTTAAAATGAGTTAAATCCAAAGGCAATTTTAATATGAGTAAAAAACATCTTAAATTATATTAATTTTTTTTTTAAAAAAAAAACTAAATTATTTCTGACAATATTTGAAAAATAGCATTTCCAAATATATAAAAGTATTTCCAAAATAGCATTTCCGAAAATGGCATTAATATTTTTTGGAAAAATAACAAAAGAAATTTTTTTTAACATAACATAGTTTGCATTTACAACAAAAATGTATTATCCCTATGAGCTAAGTATTTTTAATATGGTCCAAGTAATATTCTAGAAATTTTAGGACAAAATACATTTTAACCTTTGAATATTCTAAAAGAATGTATATTTTACAATCTATTAATATTTTAATTAACATTCCCATAGATACTACTAATGATAATAAAATATAAATCAAGTTTAGAAAATCTGTAAGCTACACATAAATTCCTTTATTTTTTCCAATCTGCTTCTTAATAATCAGTCCCAAAAATATTTTTAAAAATTTATATGATGGTATCCAAACATAAGCATGATACTGATTACTGTAATATTGTGCGCAGCACGTTATTAAATTGTCATTTGATTTTTAAACCCTTGTTATAAGCACAAATATTAACATTTTATAAGCAATAGCTCTTTTTTTTTTTTAATTCAAGCATCTATTATTTCAAAGTTTCTCATGAAGCATGAAAATGTAATAAAATTAACAAGTACAAAACAATTCAAAGATGTCATATTCATACTTTTTAGATGATTATTTTCTTTATAAAAACGAAAGTGGTTTTCATCAACTAATTTTCATACCAACCACAATATTTTTTTAAAATCGCATGGTTACACATATAACCTAAAAAAATTATGAAGTATGAGTTTAAACTTGTTTTAATGGGATTGATTCTGTAAAGAACCTATGCAACCAAATAGCAGAAAATAGTTTTTAATTCTAAACAAAGCTATCCAAATGATAAAACTTAAATTTTAGTATATTTGAGTAAATCATTGTGCTGGAATGCTAAAAGAGACAATTGAAATCAAACGCTAAAATATTTTTAAGAAATTAAATTAAATAATTAACAATCATCATGTTTGAGTGCAACACGAAAACCTTAACTATAAAAATTTTATACAAATTTAAAAGAAGAAAATTAAACAAACTCTCTTGAAATACCAATTAATTAACAAAACTCTCATGATATACTAAAAATAATATATAGGCTAGAGTAGCAATTCAAAATACGTTTTATCGAAAATTTAGGATTAAATCTATCTTAGGAACTTATCTATTAAGTATTTTAACATTAGTCAAAATTTACTTTAAGAAAAATCATGATTAATTCTCTTTATTTGAAACAAACGCACTTGTAAATTTTAAATTTAAATCATCGGAACCTTTTTCAAAACTTGCATAGTTTGCAAATTTAATCATATACAGTCAGGAAATAACAATTTTACAGAACAGTTTACATTTGCATTTTATTCTTATTACAAGCAAACATTTCGCCTCAAATAATGGACAAACAAGGAAATAGAAAATAGGTGGTTGCCTTTTATTGGCATTTGGACGAATGTCAGACTTTATGTTTATGTATATCACAAGCTTATAGCTTACTTTGTTAATAAATTTTTATGTTTATGTGTACAATAAGCTTATAGCTTACTTTGTTAAAGCAGAAGGTGTGGTGTTGCCAACAGCTTTTTATTTCTTTTTCCAGCCCTTTCGAAAGCTTTGCAAATCGCGATCGCAACACTCGAATACGCCATCTGGGGAGAGACCGGTTTCATGCCTTTAGCCCTTCTCCCTTCCCTCTCCTCCTCTTTTCAGTTGTATAGGATGTTGTTGTTGTTGTTAATTTACGTCGCACTAGAGCTGCACAATGGGCTATTGGCGACGGTCTGGGAAACATCCCAGAGGATGATCCGAAGACATGCCATCACAATTTTGATCCTCTGCGGAGGGGATGGCACCCCCGCTTCGGTAGCCCGACGACCTGCACGCGAAGTCGAGCACTTTACGGTAGAACAGTTTAACGAGGACCAATACCGCACACCCTCGGTCCCTACGCAGACTGATCCAAGTGGTCACCCACCCGCACACTGACCGTAGCCAGTGATGCTTGACTTCGGTGATCTACTGGGAACCGTGTCTTAACGATCAGTCCACTGCGGGACTCAGTTGTATAGGAATGTACTACGATAATTTCCCTTTTCTTAATATTTTTCCTTTTTATTTAATAAAAATATTTTTTAAAATTTTTATGATACTTTTCTTTAGAACTATGTTTAATGCAGTTTTCAGTTCCATATAGTTTTTCAAGTTAAAGTATTTTAATCTATGTGAAAATCTAGAGAGAAACTAACGTACTTCCTTCCTCTATGACTTTCCACACGCTAATGGGGAAAGCATGTGAAGTGTTGCCATAGGAAAAGAGTTCTGCTCTACGCCACCTGCAGCCCATTTCGATCGCCAAAAGCAAGGCCTTATAACGGGCACTGTTATAACCATGGTTATAACATAAACAGTGAATAGACAGCGCTATCAGATTATTATTATTATTATTTATTTTGAATGGCGTAAATAAGATATTTATATTTAATTTGATTCGTTTTTAATCATTTAAAAAAAAGAGCCTGCAGATTTTTTTAAATGTATTTCTTTAATACTAAATCAATATTACAATGATTTATTTCCGTAAGTATAATAAATAATGGAAATATTTTCCAATTGCATTACCTTTTATAAAATTAATTACATTATTTTGATCTTTCCGTTTAGTTATTTTCAATGAAATTAATATGAACTAAATAACAACTAAATATGAAATACACAAATAAGAATCCTCATCACTGTTTTTTTTTAATAAAAAAATTATAAATCGACCATTTATTAACCGGTTTATTGTGCTTAATTTATCGTATATTTCTGTCCAATAATCTTACTCAAATAATTATTAAGTTGACTTTATTTATTGTTCAGAGGTGTGAAATATTCTTAAATCGTATAGAATTAATTTTACATTTTACGTAAGTTTTCTAATAAAGCTAAACTTTTGCAATTTTTAAGACAATTGAAGACCAAGGGGAGAAAATAGTTTTTGTCCACGAAAGCTGATTCCGAGAAAAATCGTATTTAAAAGTCGGATATTGTTAAGCAACTAATATCCAGTGTAATCGTAAAAATAAAAATATACGTGAATACCACAAGCAGTTATTTACATTTAACAAAAATTTTATAGTTAGCAGCGTCATCTATTGACGAACCTCGAAACTAATTTAAAGCCATTTTAAGCTAGCTTTGAAGCAGAAAGCAACAAACTCTACATCTCTCCCTACTTCCCTTTTTCTTTAATTCAGTTTTTAACTGTCGGGTTTCTTTTGAATAACTCTCAAAATTGTTTCTGCAATTTTATGACAAAATATTAACATTTTGATAGAATAGAAAATATTTGCAGAAGCAATAATTTAAGTTATTCCCCGCTAGGAGTGTAGCTATTTAAATATACAAACACTTTTTGTGTTTTCATATTTTTAAACAAAAATAATAAAAGCAAATTTAATAATAAATATTGAAAACGTTATTGCTCTGTTTAATTCTGTATAGTGGATAATATTAGTTTGAAACTTCGATTTTGTTATTATATAATCGAAACAAAAAATTTAAGTATTTATATTATGAATTTTTAAACCGATTATTAAAAATAACTAACTTACTGATTGAGACCAACTTCTTTAACATCTTTCTTTTTCTACTTGCAGGTAAACAGAAGCAAGATTTTTAACTGCTTTCATTGTAAATATTGTAAACAAAATAAAAAAATTAGTTTTTGTATGGTATCTTTCTCCTTTTATTTCTTTTTTTCTAAATGAAGTTTTAACGAGTAATAAAATACAGTTGTTACAATTTGCATCATGGCAAAATAAAGATCATCTTTAGTCCAACAGTTAAAAACTTTGATATTTGTTTCGATTTGTAACTTAGTTGGTAACTTTGCAGTATAAATTTATGCACTTTTTTCGCAAAATGGGATTTGAAGGTTATTTTTCAAAGGCTTCGTCATCCTATGAAATTATGCTTTTTTATCAAATAATATGCTAGTCCCGCAGTGGACTGATCGTTAAGATACGGTTCCCAGCAGATCACCGAAATTAAGCATCACTGGCTGCGGTCAGTGCGCGGGTGGGTGACCACTTGGATCAGTCTGCGTAGGGACCAAGGGTGTGCGGTATTGGTCCTCGTTAAACTGTTCTACCGTAAAGTGCTCGACTTCGCGTGCAGGTCGTTGGGCTACCGAAGGAGGAGTGCCATCCCCTCAGCAGAGGATCAAAATTGTGATGGCTTGTCTTCGGATCATCCTCAGGGATGTTTCCCAGACCGTCGCCAATAGCCCATTGTACAGCTCTAGTGCGACGTAAATTAACTTCTACTACTCCAAATAATATGCTATTTTTATAACTGCCGTGAGTTTGTAACAGTTACTAATGACTGCCAGGACGTTCTAAATCAAAATTCTAAACTTCCTAAGGCTTTAGCAAAACGTCAATACAGAGAAAAGCTGCAGCTTTGCCAAAATGAAATGCGTTTATGGTTTAATTTCTTTTTTAATATTTTAAACATTCCTCCAATGCTGCATTATCTGGGGTCATAAAAATTTTAAAAAAAAACTGCGAATAAGGCAGTGATTTTGATAGTTTTCATCAATTGTCTATCAAATTGGCGATTTTTAAGTAAGTTTAATAATTTTCAAAATATTTAAACTATTCGTTCATTCTAAGGCCCAGATAATTCTTCATAGCATGATGATATATATATTATATCCGTTTTAACAGCCGACCCAATATTGGCTTTACGATTACTAATGTTCAACTCCGTAGCCTTGTAATTTTGAACCAATACAGAAGACAAGGAAACTCCTGGACCAGTACCCCCAGAGGTTTTGATTTGTTGTGGGAACATGGAGGACAGATTAACTCGACAGATTTAACGTGCATCAGTCACCATTTACTACTCGGGGAGTCTTTGGCCAGCCTGGGATCGAACCCTCGAATTCTCAGACATGGGCCCAGTGCCCTACCAACCAGGCAATCCCGGCCCTGAGATGATCTATATGTATAGTTTAAAATCATCGTTTTGCTTCAA